TGCCCCCTGCTTCTCACAACTGCATTATAAAGTAGGAGTCTCGTAGTTTGCTCTGTTCTTGACCCTCTGCTGAGAGAGCTCGTTTGGAGGCATCGGGACGTGTCCGCCCGGCGTTTGCCTGAGATGTGAACATTCGCAACAGAAAATCGGGAGCTTCCTTAGACTCCATCATGTGATGGTGGAAAGCAGGTGTATTAACCTGATAACCCCCAGCTGGCCAGCCAGTGCTGTGCAGTAGTCAGCAGCGTGTGCTTGCTGCATTTGAAACAGCCTCTTCTTCAGCACGTGCTGCTCTTCCAGAGCACCGAGGTGCCGGCAGAGCCACGCGCTCTAGCCTAAGACCCGTGCGGGCTCGTGGCGGCTGCTGGCTCCCCGCACCGGCCCTGGCAACCGCGCAGCACCCTGTGTAGGGGCTGAAGAGGAACGTGCAGGAGGATAACGTATGTTCTCCTGCTAGATCAGTTTTCAGCAGGCCAGGCCCTTAATGCTGGGAAGTTACCATGAGAAATAACAGGTGATTCAAGAGCAGGGGCGCCAACGTGAAGATGTAGGCAGGGAAAAGTATCAAAGAAGGTAACGCTAGCTCTGATTCAGAATGTAGAATCATAGAATCATAGAATGCTTAGGGTTGGAAGGGACCTCTAGAGATCATCTAGTCCAACCCCCCTGCATACGCAGGGACACCTAGAGCACGTGGCACAGGACTGCATCCAAGCGGGTTTTGAAGATCTCCAGAGAAGGAGACTCTACAACCTCTCTGGGCAGCCTGTTCCAGTGCTCTGTCACCCTCACTGTTAAGAAATTTTTCCTTAAGTTCCTATGGAATTTTTGATGTTTCAGTTTCCGGCCATTTCCTCTAGTCCTATCAGTGGCCACCACTGAAAAGAGACCATGACCGTCCTCTGCACTCCCTCCCTTGAGGTATTTATATACACTGATTAGATCCCCTCTCAGCCTTCTCTTCTCCAGGCTGAACAGGCCCAGCTCCCTCAGCCTCTCCTCATAGGGCAGATGTTCCAGGCCCCTGATCATCCTTGTAGCCCTGCGCTGGATTCTCTCCAGCAGCTCCACATCCCTCTTGTCCTGTGGCGCCCAGAACTGGACACAGTACTCCAGATGCGGCCTCACCAGGGCTGAGTAGAGGGGCAGGATCACCTCCCTCGACCTGCTAGAGATGCTCTTCTTAATGCAGCCCAGGATTCCATTGGCCTTCTTGGCCACGAGGGCACACTGCTGCCTCATGGTCAACTTATCATCCACTATGACAGCCAGGTCTTTCTCTGCAGAGCTGCTCTCCAGAAGGTCGGTCCCCAGCCTGTACTGGTGTCTGGGGTTATTCCTTCCCAGGTGCAGGACCTTGCACTTGGCCTTGTTGAATTGCATGAGGTTTTTCACTGCCCAGTTGTCCAGTCTGTCCAGGTCCCTCTGGATGGCAGCGCAGCCCTCTGGGGTATCGGCTACTCCTCCCAGTTTGGTATCATCAGCAAACTTGCTGAGGGAGCACTCTGTGCCTTCATCCAGGTCATTGATGAATAAATTGAACAGGACTGGACCAAGGACTGACCCCTGGGGGACCCCACTAGCCACAGGCCTCCAACTAGACTCTGCACCGCTGATCACCACTCTCTGGGCCCTGCCATCCATAGCTTTATAATAGATGAGGCTAATCTGCAGTACCTGTTCTGGAGAATCTCTCATAGTTTTCAAGATGAAGCATGGTTAAAAGGACAGTAGCTAGCTAGCAAAACCAGTTGGGGTCCTGTTACAGTTTGAAGGTTATCTTGTGTATAAAAAACACTTGCTTTTGTACTGTAGCTCCAGGCCCAGTGTTTTCCTGAGAGCGGGGCAGTGCGCCAGCAGTCCGAAGGCCACGTACGTACTGGGCTGTGTAAGGTGAATTTCCTGCTGTGTGGAGCTCAGCAATTCCCCCAGCTCATGTATGGGCACTAACATCTTCCTCTGGTTCTAGAGGCCTGAGCTATAACAGTGAATTTCCTGCTGCTTTCCTACAGCTTTGTTGTGAAGCAAACTGAGCCTTCTGCTGTACTAAGCTCACTCTTAGAAAAGAATGAGGGAAATCCTTGTCCTGCTCCCTTTTTTACCAGTCAGGATACTGGAGACTCGCAAACCTTGCTGTGCCGCCTCAGACCACTCACCGGCCTTTTATCTTCTGCTCCTGTGTTGTCTTTGTCTTGGGCACGGAAACTCCCGCACTTACCACGTGCTCTCTCTTGGACAGGAGGCTTCTCACAGGTTTGCTCTGCCTGTGAGTGGTTCGGAAGGAGCGATCAAGCAGGAGAACTTTGTGCTGAGCACTTCAGGGTAAGTGGCTGCACTGCCAGCGCGTTCCTTCTGCTCTGCTGGTGCTCTCAGGTGGGGATGTGCTTGGCTGTGCTTGCCAGAGGCAAGTCACTGGTGAGATGAAGGGGTGCTAGAGAACTGTTCCTGCTGTCCTTGCTCCGTGAAGTGCCTGTGATGCTCAAGAAATCTCCTGTTTCTGGAGAAACAACGTTATTATATTATGCATAACATAAAACTGCATTATTATATTGTAGTCTGGAAAACAGCATTATTACTTACGTGAGCATCTTCACTGATGGTCTGCGTGGCTTTTCCAGAGCAGAGGGGTTTCCTTCAGTACAACCCAAATCCCGTACTCTCACAGAAGGCTGTTTTACGAGTGTGTTCTGGGAGCTGCCTTAGACCTGTGCAGTTTCCTACTGAAATCTCTAATGCAGTTACTGTTTCCTGACCTTTCGCAGCTGTGTTGTGTCAGGGCACTGCTATCTATGCAGTCCTTGCCAAGGGGACCTAGTCTGATTTCCTGGGGCTGGTGGATTGAGTTAAAAGACCTGAATTCTGACCTTGGTTCAGTTTCTGACTCTGACCTTGGGTAAATCTTAACCTTTGTCTTAATCTCCCTAAAATAGCAAAGATAAATCTACTTGTTAGAGCCAACCAACACCTGTGCAAAAGGTGCTACTGAAGTGCAGTTCTGAAATTACATCTGAAATAGGTGTTCTTTTTTTGACCTTCAGTGTAGTCCTGTGTCTGGACAGCTGTACTCTGGCAGTTTGCAGGCTTGCTGCAAAATAGGGGAATTTTAATCCTTGGAAACAGTTTGATGAGACTGCAGTGCTTTTCTGCACTTGTACATGAAGCACGTAGCACTCCTGTGTCATAATCTCTCCATATCTCATGTTTGTTCCTGTTAGAGCTGCTTTTAACAGCCACCGAGTTGTTGATAGGTAATACATGCAGTCAGCTGGGTTCAGAACAGAATGTAATGTAGACAGGGCAGTTATGTGGCTATAAAGAATGTGACAGCAGCTGAGAAGGCTAAAAGGGCTGAAAACTGGGGATTTGAAATTGTGTGTAGAGAAAGCATATACTATGGAGGAGCTCGAGACCCTCTTTGGAGATGTCATCTGTATCCCCCAAGCAAACCCTTGTCCAGCAGTGGAGATGTTTTGTCTCCTGCCCCCGTGTTTTGCCCTGGGACCTTGGCTGGCCGCGTGGCGTGGGGCGGGTGCTGCTGTGCTGGCAGCTGCTGTGGGTGTCTCTTGCCTTCCTTGACCTCTGTTGCCCAGATCTCTCTTGTCGTTTCAGCACAGACCAGGTGAAAGGTGTGTTAACGCTTCAGGGAGATGCCTTGTGTCAAGCAGTGAGTACTTGCCATGCCTCTTGCTTTGTACTACATTGGGGAATGATGGAGTACTCATTCCTATTATGTTTATTATTTAAGGTAGGCTGGAAATACTTAACATTTTAGCAACTATTGAAAGTTGTCAGGATCCAGCAGCTCACATACCCATGTCTGATGACAACTGGCTTATTTATGCTACTGAGTTGTGCCAGTGCCAAGGATGGTTTTGCAAAAGCTAGGGTGCCAGCTGAACTGTGCACTTGGTGTGAGATGCCTCCAGGTTGAGTTACTTGGGTGAAGGCAGTCGGTGAGCTGCTGCCCCTGACTGAAGTGTGTTGATATGGTGATGGCAGGTAGTGCTGCTAATACCAAATCTCTGTGGTGAATGAGGCAGTGGGATTGTACCTGGATTTATTGCCCATATTGTCAGTAATGTTTGGTGCAATATCAGATTTTCTCATCAGCCTTCTGACTGGAGCTGATGGGTCTTGCCTGGCTCACAGTTCACTGAATGCCTCATTGCTTATCCTTTGTATTAACCTATTGCTGGAAAAGGAAGATGGTTCTGGCTGTGCCAGGACTTCCTTTAGTTGCTTGCGAAGGCAGCCTGTGAGCTCGAGTGGGGTGGGACTGGCAGATCCTGTGTTTTGGGTATGAGGGTGACTTCCTCTCACATGTTTGTTTCTTCCTTCAAGGACATTAATTTGAAAATGCCCAGAAATAATCAGCTCCTGCACTTTGCATTTCGGGAAGACAAACAGTGGAAGCTGCAGCAGGTACTGTTAGCTTTAGGTAACTGCCCTTGTGCAGAGTTTGTGCTTCCCCATCAGCATGTGTAGCTCCTTGCTATTGGAGAGGGAGTGTGATCTCCATTCTGCATTATCCAACTCCAATGGCGAAAGCTGAGGGAGGAAATGGATAAAAGTAAATTGGAGTTACAGAGCTAGTACAGAGGTTTGTGCTGCTTGTTCCTGAGGCACTAGCAAGCTGAAGGTTTCCTTAGCTGCAGTCATAATACTTTAAAAGGGGTGCCTTGGGTGCTTGCACAGTCCTGGCCTTGTGACTTTTTGTAAAACCAAGACTGTTAGGGCAGAGAGTGATTTTGAAGGCTTTGAACTCAATAACTTTTGTTCTGACACACTTCTTACTGCCGAGAGCAAATCTCACTGCCTTGTTTTTCTGTAGCATAGCTGAATTCCTTCCATAAAGGAGTTAAAAGAATGTGACTAGTCAGAGCATTGACTCTTCCCACAGATTTAGTGGGAGAAGCTTAATTTCAGAGCATCCAAGGCCCTGACTTTAAGATAGCTTCCCACAGTTAATCTGTCATAGCTTAGCAGGTTGGAGAAAGATGTATATCAGATACTTTACTATGCCATACCTTAGATTTTTTTTTTTTTGGGGGCAGGTAATCAGGTTTTTTGGTTTTTGGGGGCAGTTTGCAATGGCTTCCAGGAATGGGGGGCCCGAAATCCCTTTTCCTTCAGGGCAGCAGCCCTATTTTTATTGCTAATCCAGGTTGTAGGTGTCAGACTGTCTATGTCCAGTCCTTCATCAGAGATCACTAATGCATCTGAATAGGTGTCTGCTCTTCAGAGAAAAACAGCCTTTGTAATGTTTGAGTCATCACTATTTCATCTGAGTTAAAGAGATAGTCGAGGGAACCCTTAATTTCTAGTGTATATTGTAGGGAGTGCTTCTTTAATAGGTCTGTATTTTGTACTTTTGCAGATCCAGGATGCTAGAAACCATGTTAATCAAGCAATTTACCTGCTTATGAACAGAGATGTAAACTACCAGTTCAAAACGGGCTCGGAGGTCCTCAAGGTGAGAAGAAAGTGCACTCAATTTGGGAAGGAATGCACATGTTTCTTTCCTCCCTCTTTAAAGTGCATGTTACTGTTTGAGTCTCTGTTGGAAATGTATTCCCCAGCCTAGGCATATGTACCTGGGTCAAGAGTTTCTTCATATTTGATATGGGACTGTAGCAGTGTGACATCAGAAACGTGGCTGTAAATCTCTGTGATTGCCTGAGCAGTTAGTGCCCTGTAGCACAGTGGTGATGTTTTGAGAGCATCTCCTTTGCTCTTTTCTAAATGATGCTGTTACATAAGTCTTGCTCTTCCCAGTTGGTCAGTGCTTTTGGGCAGAGAAGAAATGAGCTGGTCATCAGCAAACTGTGGTTACTACTATGGATTATGGTTACTGCTCACGATTTACTGATTTACTGATGATCTGAAAGTGCTTTCTCACTTGCAGTAATGGCATTGCTGTCTGGTACAGACCAGCTGCTGTGTGGCACAGTGCCCAGCTGTCTCCTTGGAAATGCTGTCTGGACCATATAGAGTTCGAACTTATTTATTAGAAACTCACCACAGTATTGAGCATAAGAAAGCTAAACCAACTTAGTATCCAGACAGGCAAGGGCCCTCAATGAGGAGGAGGTGCAGAAATCAAACTATTTCTTTTTTACCTTTGGATGAAAGGGAAGAGAGAGAAATTGGTCCCCATCTTAGCAGTCATGAGCTCTATACCAGATGTGTGTTGCTTCCTACTTTTCTCTAGTGTGCCATGGGGACCTTATGGATGCAAATCTCTCTCAGAGGTAAAATTTGAATTAAAACTAACCTTGGTTGAAATTCAGGACAGTAGAATATGACAGGCTCTGTGCTGGCAGGCTGTAGGAGCAGCAAGAGCTCCTGAGGGATGTGTCTGCACTTTCAATGACTTATTACCACAGAGGAACTTCTGGTTGAGAGGGATCCTGCAAGAGATAACAGGCTAATGAGTGCAGTTTTGATGCGGAGATAAAAGTGCAATTAGCAGGACATGCCTCTAACTTACCTGCACTGGTCAAGCAGATTGCAAGTCTAACCCAATCTGAGGTCAAGAGATCTTTGATCTCCATTGGCCCAATATCTACATGAATTCTCCTTCACCTGGATTGTTCTGGTTTTAATATCTATAACAGGCTGCAGCACTCTGCAGTGTGACTGTGTAGGGATCACCTCTCAGTAGTGTGCTCTTTATATTTTTGCAGCTCATGGATGCTGTGATGTTGCAGCTCACGAGAGCTCGGAATCGGCTCACCACTCCAGCCACCCTGACTCTACCAGAAATTGCCTGCGGTGGTCTCACAGTAAGTATGTGCTGCTCTACATCTGCATACAACCTGGCAGCACCCAATTGCCAGGATCTTTTGTTGCATTTCAGTGGGATTGGGGTTTAGAAGTGCCCCTGAGGCCCAAAGAGAGAAAGCAGAAGTAGGTGAGAACTCTGAGCTCAGTGGTGTTTTTGACTGCTGTGTATCTCCCCGTGGAAGAGCTTGGGCGTAAGGACTCCAGCTCTATGAGATTCTGGTCTGTGCCTTGAAAACTTGTCTGGGCTGATTTGGCCTTGTGAGCACCAGTAAGAGGAATCATGGAACGTTGCTCCATCCTCCTCCGTCACCAATGCTTATACCTGTACCCCTTGGTCAGGTTCAGCAAGAGGAACAACTGTTCCTTGCATGCTAGTCTCCTTGCTCGATATCTTTGTTGCTTTCCTAATGTCCCTCTCACTGTGAGGTAACTGCAGTATCACTTAGAAAAAAAAGTATTGATTTCTTTGCTTTAAAAATAACGGTCCTTTCACTGATGAAGAAACTACTTATCTTCTCACCAGAAAATGTTCACCCCTGCTCTGCCTCCAGACATCCTTGTGAATTTCTATATTAACCTGAACAAGCTGTGCCTGACTGTCTACCAACTCCATGTGCTGCAGCCCAGCACAACCAAGGTGACGCCTTCTGTTGCTTCAGCCTCCTTTATTCACCTTTCCCAGACCTCCTCCCTGAGGAGGAGGTTGCACTGTTAGGTGGTATACTGCTTATAAGTTATATAACTTCATGTATTAACTTATATATAAGTTAAAACAGAAATGACTATGTCTGTATTTAGAACTGCTGCAGATGAAACACTGTATTTAAATTTAGTTTGGCACATGGCCACTTTAGTCAAGCAGGAAGTATCAGTGTTCTGGAAAAAGCTAGTGAGTATTTTTTTTTTTTGCTAAATAATGCTTCTTGCATGACATAATGGTGATTTTTAGAATTTTTGGAAGGTTATAGTTGTATTATTTCCTTTTTAATCAAAATAGCATCTCCAGGTCTTATAATTTGAGTTTTGATGTTTTTTCTTCTGTTTCACATTTCTACATTGAGAGTGTTACACATAGATCAGCTTGATATCTCATATAAACAGAATTAAACTCTTAAGGATAATGAAATGCAATCCCTCCATAAGGATGTTTTTCCTAAAATCTCTCTTCTATTTTCCTTCTGCATCTTCAGATCAGTACAAATATACTCCTGTCATGCTAAAATTTAGAGCTAAATTAGCCCCAGCCACTCTGTAGACTTTTCTTTCTGATGAAGCAAGGAGTCAAATATCACAGATTTAATATGTTAATTACACTTTCTTAAACAGATGCATATATAATACAGATATTTGTTGATATAAGGCTAATGTAACCGCAAATCTTAAGGTTCTCTAAATAGTTTATTTACTGTGGCCAACTTCTAATGGCTTCTGCTTTCTCCTCTAGAACTTCAAGCCTGCTGGAGGGTCTGTTCTGCACAATCCTGGCGCTATGTTGTAAGTGTTGTTACTACAACACTGTGAGCTGTGTAACATGGATAGGAGGATGCTGAGGATAAGATTGAAGTGGCTGTAAGCAGCCTTGAAAAGGGCCCATGAGGAGCATCTGCTAAGTGGGAAATCAGGACTGAGCTATTTGCTCTGGCTCTGAATGCATGTGTACCTGTGTTTCTTTAAAGTGTTTCTTTAATGACTTTGTTAGAGAGGCCCAGAGATCCAGTTTTTCAGGATACAGCCCATGCATAGACTGTGATGAGGTTGGCAAGAGATTGGACTTGTCAGCCAAAAAGCGCATTAACTGTTGGCATTGCAATCTGCATTTCCTGTATTGTTCCTCTCTGGAAAGTGGTAATGTTCCTACTTAAACTTTATTTAGTTTTTGCTTGTCTCTGAGTCTGATCAGGAGCAGACTGAGACGTTTTTGTTCTGTAACTTTGCCAGGTGCTGTTTTAAGTGTAGTAGAAGTCGTGGTGATCTCTCATGAAAAGAGAACAGTGGAGGTGTGTGTGAAGCTGTGCTCTTGTTTCTCCACAGTGAGCTTGGCAACCAGAGGTATGAAGTCAGCCATGTTCATAAAGTGGAAAGTGTTGTGCCGTGGTTAAATGACGCCCTTGTCTTCTTCACAGTTTCACTGCAGCTTTGCCAGCAGCTGAAGGACAAGGTAATGGCCTTAATAAAGAAGCTTTGTTTTTAAAGGATTCCAGCTATTAAAAGGACTTCAGATTGCCTAAAAATGTTATATGATGTTATTCAGTATGTGTGTGTGTATGTATGTATATCTATAAAAAAATATTGTACAGAAAGCAAGTGGTGAATACACTACAGTACTCTGGAACCAAACAGCTGGTTGGCACTGCTCATCAGACAGACTTCTAGGATGGATGTAGTAGCATGGCAGATGTGTTTGCTGACCTAGTGACTAGATGGAGAGGAGTGTGTTCTCATTCATGAGTTGGATGTTGGGAAATGCCAAGGTCCTGGAAAGGAGGTGTAGAAATCTGTTCAGTAAACCAAATTGCAGTAGACCTGCCATCCTGAGCAAGTAACTTTGTGCTCCAAGCTCTGGTGACAACAGTAGCAAATCTGCCCTTCTGAAATGCAGTGCTGGGAAATGCTGTAAAATTCAGTCTTGACACACATTGTATGCTTTTTATTCTATAGTCTGGTGGACCGGGAACTTACCTGCCTCTTCTCTTGCTTTCCAGATCTCTGTTTTCTCCAGTTATTGGAACTACAGGCCGTACTAGTTCTCTGTGGAGTGTCCAAGCCCTTACAGCACTGCCACTGTCTCCCTGTTTATTTGAGTCCAGGTCAGCCAGAGGAGGAGTGCTGTGGTTCACTGCCCTATGTCCCACCATAGGGTAGGTCTGGTGTTTCTGGAGAGGAACCTTCAGTAGCCTTGTCTGAGACTGCTGCATGTGCAGAACACTAAGCAGTGCTGTGTGGTTGGCAAGAGCTTCTGCCTGTCCTTGTTCACAACTGGGTTTGTGGTTAGTGCTTTGCAAACCCCTGATGATCCGCGTAATTCTGTTCAAAGAGACAGTGTAGGGCTGTGGACCACTCTCTCTAACTGTATTTGCACACAGTGCAGTAACTAACTGCTGGGCGATGAGCTGGCTGGGAAGTGATGAAAACAGACTAATCTCACCCTTCACAAGCAGTGCGGGGCTGCTGCTCCATGTAGCAAAATACGGTGTGGTGACCTGGTCCAGCTGAAGTTTTGGCTAGCCCTGAACTTCTCCCTCTTCTGTTCTGTCCCTAACCACGTTAATGATTCCCCTTTGGGGTTTATTCTTACTTGCTGCTATTTGAACTCTTTTTTTCCCTGGCATCAATGTGATCATCTACATTAATATTTTTTTCCCAAGCCCTAGTTGGGCCACTTGTTTTTTTCCAGGTTTATTATCTTGTTTTCACTCTCAGCTTCTGGAGCTGCCCCAGTACCTAGAGCAGAGCTCGGGTTCCCACTGTGCAGTCTCACATCCTGTCATTAAACCCAAAGTGAGTACCACGTTGTTCTTATGACTTGCTGCCTATCTGTGGATGCTGCAGTATGTAACTCATTCCTCTAGCCAATGATAGCTGTGAAATAAAGATCTTCAAACCTGCTGTGCTCCTGTGGGTGTCAGTGCTGAGAATAAAGTGTCAAAGACTCTGTGGTTGTTCACAAGTGAGGGTAAGCTGTGCTTAGGTGTGGTATTGGGCATGCTTGATTACTGCTTGGCTAGGGTGGAGGATAGAATACAGTAGTGGTCTCTAGAGGCCAGAGCTTTACAGCTCTTCAAAGGCTGGGATTGGTTTGTGCAGCCTGAACATGCAGCCCTAAAGTGCTGCTCCCAGCAGCTCTTCCAGCTCTCATCCAACACCCAAGTGGTACCTGAAGCATTTCTCAAACTTTTTGTCCATCATGTTTGGAAGGGGCTGTAGAAACTGTCTGTCAAGTGAAAAGGATGCGTAACCTCTCTCCTGTTTGGCTTCAGCTAGCCCTGCCCAGCCTGCAGACAGTCCTTGGAGATTTCCTGGCCAGGGGGCCTTCCCCAGGAGCCCAGCTAGGTGTGTGCTGAGGGAAGGGCTGCGGCCTTGCCTAGCTCCTTTCAAGACACGGCACCTCACAGCTTGTCTTGACTGCGCACAGGCTCCTGGTGTGTTCAAAGTGCTATCAAAACCTCTGCTCAAAATGGGAATATAGGCAGGTTGCTTTGATTTTGCTGCCTAGATCTCTGCTCTGGACACATATGGCACTTCATGTTAGCGATCTCCCTTTCTGCCTTTTTGTGAAGCCCCCAAGTGCCAGCCCTATTACTGTTGCAGTCTCCTTGTCTGGGAACTTGGCAGCTGGTTCTGTACCTAGTCCAGTGTGTGCTTGTTTTGCAGGTTGCAGACAGTAATAGTTCTTACAAATGAGTATCAAGCTGATCAGTAAATGTGTTTGTTAGTGAGTAATGAAAGGTGGGAGGTAGAGAGGCATGGACGGGCTAATGCAATAGCAGACTCATTACTGATGCTGTAATTAGTCTTATAACTAGCTGCAGTCCTGGCTTTGTGTATGCACTTAGCAGCCTTTGCTCTGTTTCTGATCTTTCTCTGCTTAGAGAGCAATTAGGCATGTGTGGAACTGCTCACCATCAGCAGCTTCTCAGATTAGAGCGTTTTGATAGTTAATCACCTCTCTGCTGGTTCTGGAGCTGCCTGATCTTCTCTTTAACCTTCCTTGTGTGCAGATGGAGGCTCCTCTTTCAATTCACACCAGTGTGTCAAATCAATATTGCCTCATCCTCTGCAGCCCAGCTCCCTGCTGTGAGGGATATTACACGCAACCCAGTGTGTTTTGTTTCCTTCTGACAAAAATAGCCCACTTTGGTTTTGGAGGGCAGCAGTAGCACTGCAGCAAGCTGAGGACAGAGCAGAACCATAGATGAAGAGCAAGAAGAAAGTTTATTTTATGCCCACCTGTAGCCTATCTCCATCTGAACAGCTATTCATGCATTGCCCACTGAGTAGTGACAGAGAGCCAGCAGAATCTCATGCCGTCCCTTCTGTGAGTGCATGCAGGGATAGTTGTCTCAATATCCCAGCACTGAACAGACATCGGAGAGCCTTAGCACAGAGACAATGATTTATAAAGATATAATCACTTTTTTTTTTGTTTTCCCTGGAGTTGGAAATGAAATTAAAGGTATTTGTGTGTGTGCTGAGGGCTACTGGTGCTGCCAGGAATTGCTCTGTGTGGTCCCCAACACTCCTAGCCTCACCCTGTCATCCAACTATGGTGAAAATGTTCTTTAACACCCAGAGAGCCATTGCAGGGGCAGGGGCTGCTGACAAGGTAGGATATGTACCAAGGCTCCCATGCACAAGCAGGTCCCTGGCTGTGTTTCTGAGTGCCTTGTGCTGGAACCAAGGATCTTGGGGCAGAAATTGGCCTTTCTTGCTCTGTGTGTGCCCCAGCCCAAAGGAGATGCCGAATATCACCCTAAAGCAGGAGCTGCACCAGGTTGCATCTGGTTCCCCCAGGGGCTGCAGGGAGGCGGGGTGAGGAGGCCATGCTTCTCACGAGGGAGGCATAGCTGATCTTTGAGATGAAGGGCAAACTTGCCCTTTGGTGCCCAGGCACCCTCCCCAAAGACCATGCTAAGCCTCATGTCACTGCTGCCTTGCACAGAGCAGTTCCAGCTTCACATGCTTGTGTGTCCCCTGGGGAGGGTGAGGAAAAACAGTTTCTAAAGGTGATACAGCACCTGCATCAGGGAGACTGGCTCGCTGCTCCAAAAGGCTTTACAAGATCTAAAAGTTCTAGGAATGGAGCACAAGACCCTGAAAAGAAATACAGGCTGGCCTCTTATTCAGCCTTTCGAGGGCATTCTGGAGGACAATTACTTGGTAAGAGCCCCCCTGCCTGGGCCAGTGGGTGCACGGCCACTGAGGAGTCCCTGTGAGCCAGCTGAGGCAAGGAGACCTGCCACCGTGCTGCTCGTGTCCCAGGCCTGGCACCCGTGGGGTCAGCTCCACCTCAGCCGGGCTGCCAGGAAACCTGCCTCTTCGCCCTTTATCAAGGATTTATTGGGCACTCCAGAGAAGTGGTGGAGGATTTGGGCAGCCAAAGGAGCAGCTGCTTGTTCCTGGGAAGCGGTTTAGCCAGGGTTGCTGCGTGGGAGACCCCTTGTCGCTCTCCCAGGCCAGAGAGTGATGAGGTGAGCGGGGAGCAGAAAGAAGACTGAGAAGGAAGACCCCATTGTGGAGGCTTGGACACCCTTGCACGTGTTGCCGCTGCTCCAGTCATCAGCAGCACTAGCAGTGCTGCAGCCCTATGTCGGAGCTGCTCACAGCTGCTTTGCCCGAAGCCTCGGTGTGCTGTCACTTCAGAAATGCCTCCTTAGAGCCCAAGAGACGCCCTGGGAGGGCTGAGCAGAGGGAAGCAGGACAGAGAAGAAAGGCAGGTCAGGACTTGCTCCTTCCGCTGCCGGGCACAGAGCGACTGATTGCTGCCGCACTTAGCCTGTAACCTCGAGTCCGGCACAGCAGGGACCAGCGTGACATATCTGGCAGTGTGAGAATGGGTTGCAATTAGCGTCAGAGGAGGAAGCGTTCGTCAGCCAGGTACGTGAGCAGGGGTGAGCTCTGAGCGGGGCTGCGGAGGCTGCGTCGTCCCCTCGCACCTGGGGTGAAAGCACTTGTGGCTCCCGCCGGCCCCGCGGGGGAGTTCCCCCCCGGCGGTGCTGGGCACCGGGGCCTGGCGGGCAGGGAGCCCGCGGGAGCGGCCGCGGGACGCAGGTGCTGCAGGAGGTCCCGTTTTGACTGGCAGCGCCTCCTCGTGCAGGACCCCCGCAGCCATCCCCAGGCGTGCGGGGGCCGCTCTGCCCCCCTGCTTTCCTACAGTCCCAAAGCAGCTCCCGTGGGAGGGCTGTGTCTCGCTTGTGTTTTGATTGAGAGGCATAAAATGGCTGCCTAGTCTAACCTTGCTTGGTGGGTCCGCGTTAGAGGCCCTGTTCCAGCTGGTCAGCCCGCACAGCCCCTTGCCCTCCTGGTCCCTCTGTGGGGCAAGAGCGCAGCACCCCCAGGACCTGTTAGGTTTTTTCCCCCCAATCGTGACAATGTTTACTGCCTTTACTCTATGCCTTCTCTCATTAAAAGTTGTAAAGCCGAGTTGGAAATTCAGACTAGAGAGTTTGACTTCTGTGAGGCCACAAAAATACATTCCTGGTAAAGATCTTGTGCAAGTTACTGGCGAATACAGTAGTCCCGAGGGAATGCTGCTTACAGACAGGAAAATCTAATACTGAGAGGCGCTTTTCATTTTTGCATCCAAAAGAAAAAAAGAAAAAAGAAGGGAAAGATGACTTGCCAGGACAAGCTATTCAGCTGGAGCAGGAAT